AATAACAAAATGCAAAGATTGGTGACAGCGCTTGGAACCATAAGGCAACGAAAAACTGTGACATAAACTCGGCTCTGCCTGTGAATCACTCTTTGCTTCTCTTCTTCCTTCCATCCCATCATTTCATATATCACTCTCCACTTGCTGTCTATCTGAGAACAAGGCACAACTTGCTATTGCAATAAACTATAATCTAATTATCCACACCTAACAACTCTTGCACTTAATCTATAATAAAATGATGACAGAAAAATGTTATAGCACTGCCTTTAGTAGCCTCACACAGCTCCTACTGTTTCCTCCTCATGTCCTTACCAGCCATGTCTGGACAATGTTATATCATGAGTAATATTTTTTTTAAAAATCCATCTAAATAAAACACACACATGCACGCACACACAGTGACATTTTAGACCTTCTTCAGAATACTGTATATACTATGGGCATCATGGTGCTGATCCAGAATCCTTACATTATTATTTATTACTAGAGCTACAATAATAAAGCAATGAGGAGGGGGAAGTAATAAATATGAAATAATGTCATTATGATGATTCCATTTGTTTCACTATCCACTCTGTGCAGGGGCAAAGCTTATTACATTTTTAAACTGTAGAGATACAATAATTTTACTGCTGTAAAATCCAAATTTTGTCTTATTTAAAATATAAATCTAATATAATCTGCTTCTTAATGTATGTTCTTTAAAATACAGCGTGTGTTTTTTAATATATTATAATTATAATAATGCATAATTATGTGGACATGCATATTAGATCGTTTTTTAGTGAAATATAATCCCTCCAGAAAGGCAGGAAAAGCCCGTAACTTACTTTAAAACTAAATATGTTCCCTAAAACGGTGACAGAGCTACAGACCCATGACAGCCTTACACAGGTAGCCAGCAGCTATGACCAGCACTACTTGTGCAGTTAATAAAAGGACAGGTAATGTTTGTCGCGCTGTTGCACACACAGCACGCTCGTTTGTTTCAGTTCGTCAGTTGCAACAAGACAACTTACCAACGTGTACGTAATAAGCTAATACTCCTGGTGTGCTACACACTACAGTGTACGCTGTACACCTACTTACTGGTTTTGTCGCATCAGTCTGTGTCTCTGAGTTAACTTGTGTTTCTCCTACAGCTCCGGACCGCAAAAAATGCGCGTGCTCTTTGTGAGCTCGTTCCCGGCTCGTAACCAGCGCGTTCTGCCGTCAAGGGCGATCATTGGTTAAATGTGATCATGTGACTGATGCAAGCCAGATCCTTTTATTTAGCAAAACTGTGATTAATAGTTAAATATTATTGTTGAGGGGCACAGACAGGACTCCGCACGCACACACACATAAAAAATAAATAAATAAATAAATAAAAAAAAATTAAAAGTTGCCTCAACAAAAGGGCACTTTGGGCACTCATCAGGAAAGGGGCGGGTGCTCAAGCCCCTCTAGCCCCACCCCCTCTGCACGTGCCTGTCCTATAGGATGTTTTGGTTTTTTTAATCTGCTGTTCATTTTCACCCCCCGCGCCCCCCCTCCACCCCGCCCCCCGCAAGCCCCCCCCCCTCGCGCCCCCACATCCCCCAGAACAACCCTCCCTAAACACCTGACCATCCCCAGCCCGCCCGCCTTCCCGTTCCCCCCCCACCCCCGGCCTCCCCCCCCCCCCACAATCCCTAACTCATCGAAATGATGTCATCAGACAATTTCATTTCTAAATGTGTTAATGCATGTGAGATCAGATGAGCAAATAAAATCTGAACTCCACAATGCCCTGCACAGCTCATGGTAAAGAAGTCTTTGATTAAAAGATAGAATTGTGTTATTCCTACCCAGTATATTCTTAAGTCTATGGGAGAATTCACATTCATTGTTTCAGTATTATTATAATCCTGGCTGTGGTCAGTTAATGATTTGTAAGAACATGTACTGCTGTTTAGCCTTTTATGTGGTCTTGTCTGTTTTGTATTATTGCACAGGACCGACTGATCTCCAGAAAGAGGAATCTCAAAGTTTATGAAAGAGGTCCAGACAAAGAATTAAACATAAAGCAATCGCCACAATTCAATATCATATTGAATACATTAAATTATCTAATAGATTACATTAGTCTGATCAGGAAGGCTGGCTCTGTGGTCAGCATGAAGCTGGACACTCTCGTGAGGGGTAGGTGAGTGCAGTCCTTATATAACGAGTGACAGGTGAGTGCAATTAAGGCCAAGCACCACACCCAATCAAATGTGAGGAAAAGAAACAAGGTGCATCTGGTGAAGTGAATGTGCTAGAAGGTGAGCCTTTACAACAATATCATTCAAGTTCATATGCATGTGAAATCAGATGAGCAAATAAAATCTGAACTCCACAATGCCCTGCACAGCTCAGGGTAAAGAAGGCTTTGATTAAAAGATAGAATTGTGTTATTCCTACCCAGTATATTCTTAAGTCTATGGGAGAATTCACATTCATTGTTTCAGTATTATTATAATCCTGGCTGTGGTCAGTTAATGATTTGTAAGAACATGTACTGCTGTTTAGCCTTTTATGTGGTCTTGTCTGTTTTGTATTATTGCACAGGACCGACTGATCTCCAGAAAGAGGAATCTCAAAGTTTATGAAAGAGGTCCAGACAAAGAATTAAACATAAAGCAATCGCCACAATTCAATATCATATTGAATACATTAAATTATCTAATAGATTACATTAGTCTGATCAGGAAGGCTGGCTCTGTGGTCAGCATGAAGCTGGACACTCTGGTGACAGTGGCAGAGAAAAGGACATTAAAAAAATTATGGACAATGCTGGGCATCCTCTGCACACGGCCATAGACAACCAGAGGAGTCTGTTCAGTGGCAGGTTGCTTCTCCCAAAGACAAGAACCAACAGACTTAAAAACTCCTTTGTCCCACATGCCATCAGACTGTTTAACTCCTCTCTGGAGGGGAGAGGGAGAGGAAACAGGAGGACAAAGTAGGGGGGAACAACTAAGCTGTAGTGCCTCTTCACTGTGCAATACTTTTTGTTAATATCCAACGGTGCAATAGACTTCAATACTTGAAATGTGCAATTCCCTTGTATTCTTATTCCTATTTATTCTATTTATCCCTTTTGTATATTTTATTTATATGTGTCTCTGTATTTATATATGTGTATATATAGTACTCTGCTCACATTCTGCAACTTCTGTCAGTGCTGTGCTATTGGAAACCGAATTTCCCACCCGAGGGATTAATAAAGTTTTATCTAATCTAATCTAGTCTTGATACAGCCTGTTGCGATGATGTTGTTTATTATATTGCTCTCTCTTTTTTTGCTTGTTTTCTCTTTTATCTTTCTCAACAGGTGATCCAGGTGATTGATATATGTATTTTCTGTCTGTTTGTTTTGTTGGTTTTTGTTTTTTTGCCTTTATCACCGTTCCTCTCGCGCTGTTTTTCTTTCCCTGCCTCTCTTTCTTTCTCCCTTCTCTTTCCCCCAGTCATGTCTGTCCCGTGTGTAGCAAGTGAAAATAAAATAAAATAAACAATAAAAGCAAAGGTGAATCAAATAGACCAATAGAGCAAGGCCGGGATGGTCCATTTGGTAAAGTAAATCCGTTGGGCATCTTTCTTTGCCATCCATTCGCTTCCGCTTATCCTTTTCAGGGTCACGGGGGGCGCTGGAGCCTATCCCAGCTGTCATAGGGCGAAAGGCGGGGTACACCCTGGACAGGTCGCCAGTCTAACACACAGGGACAGACAACCATTCACACTCACATTCACACCTAGTGGCAATTTGGATTATCCAATTAACCTATCCCCACAAGCTGCATGTCTTTGGACGGTGGGAGGAAGCCGGAGTACCCGGAGAGAACCCACGCAAACACGGGGAGAACATGCAAACTCCACACAGAAAGACCCCGGCCTGATGGTGGAATTGAACTCAGGACCTTCTTGCTGTGCGGCAACAGTGCTAACCACCGTGCCACCGTGCTGCCACCGTGCTGCCTTTAGACAATAATTCTGGTTGGCAAAAGAACCAAACGGGACAGGCAGAAAGAAAAAATAAAAAAAATTAAAGCTTCAATATTAAAGTTCTGACCTCTTTGCGATCCTGAATAGAGTACGCTAAAACCACTCCATCTGCTCATTTTATTTGTTAAATTGTTGATAATATGCATTAAGAAAAAAAATCAGGCCATTTTATTACATTTTATGGTCGTGTAACCAAGAGTGATATTTTTGTTTGTTTGTTTGTTTGTTTGTTTGTTTGTTTGTTTGTTTGTTTGTTTGTTTGTTTGTTTGTTTGTTTGTTTGTTTTGGCTGCTAAAGGGGAAAACTGCTGAGAAAAACTCAGCACTAACAGCACAGTGACAACTTCCACTGAACTTCTGTGAACTTCCACTTAAGTTCAGTAATCTCAAACAAGTGTTGCCCTCTTGTGGACATGTAAGTACTTAATCATTATTAAGAGCTTGAATACAAATGAAGTTGTTCTTATCTTCACACAGTGAAATGTCTGTGTAAGTTTTCAGTCATCCAGATCATAGTAGTCTTGAGGGCTTGA